GAAACTTCAGCTGGGCGATGGTAGCACACACCTTTAATCCCAGCACTCGGGAGGCAGAGGCAGGTGAAGGATCTCTGTGAGTTAGAGGCCAGCCTGCCTGGTCTACAGAGTGAGTTCAAGGACAGCCAGGGCTAGACAAAGAAACCCGTCTCAAAAATCAAACCAAAAAAATTAAAAATGTCAAAGTGACTATAACCTGCATGTCATGCTTCAAGTGATAATATTCTAGAACACAAGAAAAATAGTTTTGCCTCTCCAACAACCACTAGGAGCACAATGCTAAATTTCACATAGAGTGGGTGCAAACACCTATTTCTTATTCACACTGTAATAATGAGAAATATTTGTGGTTTTAATACGACCATGTTTCAGCACCTTGAGGCAAAGCAGGCCCCGGTACCACCCACCACTGCATAGAGAGCAGCTAGAAGGAGACTCGTAATCCCAGAGCCAATTCCATTTTTTGTGCCTTGATGTTTTTGGCAGGCTTCAGAGTAGCAGGCAACCTGACAGGAGTAATGAATAAATAAACAGCAGTTCTGGGAATCTGCTACTGTGGGAGGCATGGATATTCTGAGCTATCAGATAAATATTCAAATGACAAAAGCTAACTTCTGATTGCCCCTCATGGGGCAACTTTTAGGAATGATTCAGACAACATTCAGAGAGACTAATACTATAAGTTAAAGGCTTCATGCTCAGGGCCTGGAAGAGTACCCCCAACCCATCCATCACAGTCCTTCACGAACCGCCACATGTGAAGATAGGACCCCCCCTTATCTTTGGCCCTTGCATGCTCCCACCACCATCCCAGCGAGACTGACAGCTTTTCCTTCTTCCCCTATCATGGCTCTGAGGCAGGCTGAGCTGTCAACACTTTCCCAAAAGTATGTCAATTCCTTGAGACAGTTTCCAGTTTGGTTTCAACTAGGGAACATTCCTGCTAAATAAGGCGAGGTTCCTTGCTTGATTGGTACAACTCAACAATTAATTCTCAGAAAATAACCTTTCTCAAGTGCTCATGGAGTCCCAAGGCGAAGTGTCTCATCACTGCTCCAACCCCAAGAACTGTGTACACACCCAGTACTAGCTGTTAGGTATTTTTAAATATCCAAAGTGCCATTCACGGAATTAAACCAAAGTTTTAATCCCATATGAGAGATAAAAAGCTACATAAAGAGAAAGGGATCCAGGGCTAGGCATAGCTGCAAACTCTGCAATCTTTTGACTGACAAAAGCCTTGTTAATCCGCATTTGAACCTGCCTAAGTCATACAGCACACTCCTCAGCAAATCAAGTCTGTGCCCTACAGATCTGCTCTCTCCAGCCTCACAGCTAAGCTCCCCCCAGGGATGTGATGTCAGAGTAACAGTAACAGTTGATCTTATAGTTAGAAGGAGGGGGTTTCTTTATCACTTTAGGCTCTATTTACTATCATATAAATTAAACGCTGGGGGCCCGGGTTACTTAATAGCATTACTTAATTACACCTCTTTAAATGTAAAACCAATATCACCACCTAGTGGCCATCAGTGTCCTAACTCACTGAGGATGTAAAAGAAAAGACAATAAAAATTAAATATAAACTTTAAAACTAAAGAGAAGCAAAGAGTAAAAGAGCCAAATGCTTCAGATAAATGGAGCTGCTTCCAAGATTAAAAAGCTTAGACAATGCATCAATGGAAACACAGTCTCTAATATAGTATTTGGCATCCCAGTAGATACTGGGTTAGAGGTCCTGCTTGCTCTGATATCTGAATGCAGGACATAGACAGACACCAGGACAAGAGGTACCATGAAGAGGCCCTGGTGAGATGCCAGTCACAGCAGGAACAATGTATCTACGGATGAAAGTTTCCATCACACTGGACTGAGGTCACAAGCCTGAACAAAAATACTGACAGCTATTTTTTTCTTCATTTTGTTTTCATGTATATGTGCATTTTTTCCTGCCTGTGTATCTATGAATCACATACATGTAGTGCCCCCAGAGGCCAGAAGTAGGTGTCAGATCCCCTGGGAACAGAGTTAGAGATGGTTGTGAGCCTCCCTATGGGTGCTAGGAATAGAACCCAGGTCCTCTGGAAGAGCAGCTAGTACTCTTAACCACTGAGCCAGTTCTCCAGCTCCCAGCCATTCTCTTTGAACAAAGGAACCTTAAAATCATGATTAAGTGAAACAAGCCAGTTCCCAGAGGACGATTACTCCAAGACTCCCCCATCCAGGATACCCACAGCAGTCATATCCAGAGATGGGAATTTTGATGATGGTTACTGAGGGATACAGGAAAGGGGGTGCAGAGAATTGTTTAGAGGTTCACAGTGTTAGTTTTATGGAATAAAAGAGCTCTGGAAATGTACTGCCAACAGGAATATACCTGACTGACTGAACTGTGCCCTTGAGATAATCATTTGTGGGTTGGAGTGATGGCTCAGCCATTAAATACACTGGCGGCTCTTGCAGAGGACCTGGGTTCAGTTCCCAGTGCCCACATGGAGGCTCCCAACCATTTGTAGGTCCAGTGTCAAGGGATCTGATGCCCTCTACTGGCCTCTGCACTGTGTGCACATGGTGCACAGACACACAGGCAGACAAAACACCCATAGACATAAAATAAGACAAATATTTTTACAGTTGCTTTTAAAAGAGAAGAAACATCTATTACAACAGAAAACAACTTGGAGAAGGAAATGAATCTGGGGGAGTCAGGGTAAGCCACACAAACATAGCTTGGTTCTGAGTAATCAAAAGTAAATGGGATTCAACCTGTTCTCTGCTTTCAAAAAAAATCTGTGGAAGGGAAATAAACAGGTAACAAGTTACAACACACACTAGACAGAATACAATGGGTTTGTACGCGACACGGATGCGGAGTGAATCCAGGCATGGTGGTACCTGCTTGTAGTCACAGGCCTTGGAAGGCAGCAAAACTCACCACCAATGTGTGCACTTATGTGGTTTAATGTCATACTAGTGCAGTTACCCTCAGGGGCCAGAAGATGGCTTCCCATCAACAGGTACCCAGAGGTTTCATTATCACTATGAGCCAAGTCCCAGGAACACTGCCCTGCTACAAAGTGCCAGGGAGACTGCCAGACGCATCCATGCACATGCACACGCACCAGAACATGAAGAGAAAGAACAAAAAGGTGGGAGTGGGCATACAGAAGACAAGTATGGAGAGAATTCCATCACCGAGGCTTGATTGGCACAGGGTGTCATCTATATTATTGACAAGAACCATAGCACCGTTTAAATAGAGAGAGATCATATAAACACAAAATTGCCTCTGGGAACAGGACACAGGCAAGGACACAAGGAAAAGTCTGCCCATGGTTCCCACGGGAGTTAAGTGATCCAGTCTCAGTGTGTCTGAGGGCATCACTAGCTACACAAGGTCTAACTGGGGGCTTTCATTGAGTTCATGGTTGCCTGAGCCCAGAAGTGATTTTTCAGGCCACTAGCATTCCCCTCTCCCTGTAGCACCCAACCCTGCCTCTCATCAGCTCTTCTAGTGGAGCAGGCTCCTCTCAGTCTCACAAGACAGCACAGATGGGCAGTCTTGAGGACCAAGGCAACTGATGCAGAGAGAGGGGACTTGGAAGTAGGAGTGGGGGGGGGCACTTCTTAAAGAAGAAATGTCTGCCAGCCATGCTGGTGCACACCTTTAATTTGAGCACTTGGGAGGCAGGAGTAGGCATATCTCTGAGTTCAAAGCCAGCCTGATCTATATAACAACTTCCAAGACACCTAGGGCTACATAGTAAAGCCCTGTCTCAAAGGAAGAAGGAGGCGAAGAGATAGAAAGAGGAAGAGAAGGAATAGAGAAGAGGGGGGACGAAGGAGGAGGGGAGGAGGAGGAAGGAGGAAGAGAAGAGGAAGAAGGAAGAGAAGAGGAGGAAATAGAGGAGGCAGAGGAAAGCAGAGGAGAGAGAAAGAAGAAAGCATCTATAGACAGGACTGCAGACCTTCCTATCTTCAGTCTCATCCCCCCCCAAGGTCAACTATGATTGAAAATACATGGAAAATACTATACATAACTGTCGGCCTTAAAACTCTGAGACACACGGTAAAATATTGTGCTGTCTCAATGCCCTGCCAGGACATCCATCAGGCCTGTGTCCAGCACATCCTCATGGTTCATGCTCACCCACGGTGACTATCAGTCACATCAGTTACAGAGCTGACTACAGTCACACCCTGGTTCTCATCCAAAACATCATGGTAACGTGCTGACAACTCCATTACAACATACTGCTCTGACTACTCAGCTTTTAGATACTGTTAGCCTCTTACTGTGCTTAATTTTATCTTAGGTGATATAGGGGTGTGTGGGTGTGTGTGTTTATGGGGAAAACACGGCAAATAGAATCTGGGTCCATCTGTGGCTTTAGATACCCACTAGGAGGCTTGAACTATGTCCCCACCACATAAAGAGAATGACCTACAAGAAGGTGGAGCCTGTTCAAACCACTTACATTATTCAGAACAACCTGAGATTCAGTTCACACCTCTTTCAAATGTCATCAAAATGTAGCTGTGTGTGTATGTATTTTTCTCTCCATAATCCTGGGATATTACACTATAAATCAGATCAAAGGTTCAATTAATAGCATCCAATTAAAAAAAAAAGCACAGGAAGAGACTTACAGAGGGAGCGTTATGGTAAGATTAATGAATATGTTATTTCAACATGAAAATTGCCTTAAAACTTGTTGCCAAAAGTTTGCATGTTAATTATCTCTCTGTCTTCTAAAACATTATTTCTTCCACTTTATTCTAACATGACAAAGCCATGGTTATAAAATTACATAACTCTTGTAATTAAATATATTCATACCATGAGAGGACACTTTCAGCAATATTCAATACTAAATTAGCACAGAGTCCAGAGAGTTATTCTTATCTAAATGAAATTAATTGTCTACCGATTCAGGAGAACATAAAGATCTCAGTACATACATAACCACCCCTGGATACTCTGAGCCTTCTCTACATACCTGTGTCAGATTCGAAGCCTGCTGTAAAATGCTCCTTCTCAACTGCTCTGCTCTCTTGGCATGAAAAGGATTGCTTTGACTCTGGATGACAAACACAATTTCTTTCAAGTCTGAAACAAACAAACAAAAAGTTCTCAAGTTTGTTTTTTGTTTTTTTAACAGTGATTAAAATAAACTTGAACATAAGTATAAGAGCACAGCTTTCTTTTGGTTTTGGTTTTGTTTTTTCCGAGACACGGTTTCTCTGTATTGCTTTGGAACCTGTCCTGAAACTTGCTCTGTAGACCAGGCTGGCCTCGAACTCACAGAAATCCACCTGCCTCTGCCTCCTGAGTGCTGGAATTAAAAGGCGTGTGCACCAATGCCCAGCATAAGAGCACAGTTTTAAGGCAAGCATTCAAGCAATAAGCTCTGAAGGGAAAATTCTATACTTCTAAAATTCTATGTAAATAGGTGTTTTGCCTGCATGTGTGTATCTGTACCATGTGCATGCAGTGCCCACAGAGGCCAGAAGGAGGCGTCAGATCTCCTGGAACTGGACATAACAGTAGCTGTGATCCGTCATGTGGATGCTGGGAACTGAACCCAGGTCTTCTGAAAGAGCAACCAGTGCTCTTAACCACTGAATCCGTTCGTTCACCAATCCCAGAAATTTTTTATTTATATAGCTCTAGAACCAAAATCTTCTCTATTTTTAAACAACGTCCAAAACTTCCTTCTAGATGTGTCAAGCAAACAAGCTCACTGCACTAAACCAAACCTTAGGGAATAAACTACAACTTTCCCCCTGCATCTGCAAAACAAACCTGCCACACAACCCAGTGACTTTCCAATGGTCCCAACATAGCGCTACACTGTGTATGGGGTGAGCTGTGCCCCCTCCAAATGGTATATGCTAAGTTCTAGCCCTCAAAGCATGATCCTGTTTGGAGTTGGGTCTCCCAGAGTCATCGGGATAAACTGAGGTCATTACAGAGGCTAACCCAGTATGACTACTGTCCTCACAGAGGAAGGGAAACTGGACACTCGCACCGGAATTGGAAAGACAGTGGGAAGCCGAGAGAGAGCCTGAAGGAGATCTTCCCCCACAGCCCTCAGGAGCCAACCCGGAAGACAGCTTCATTGAGGATTTTAGACTCCAAAATTCTGAGATAACAAACCATTTTGTTGTATAACAAAAGACTGGCACAAACAATTTATAGGAAGCAAAAGTTTCCTTTGGCTTAAGTTTTGGTGGTCCCCACGCATGCTCACTTGGCCCTGTGGTTTTTAGGACCGTAGTACAGTGCATCATGGAAGGGACTGTGTGATACATAGTGCCCATTGTGGTTCAAATTTGAAAAATTCCTCACAGGCTCCTCTGAAAGCTTGATCCCACTGCCAATGCTCCTGTGACAGGCTGTGGAACCTTTATGATCATGTTGAGCCTACCTCCAGAAGTAGGTCACTAGGGAGAGCCTTTGACAGTTATCCCGGTCCCTGGCTCCTGGCCCACATTCTGCTTCCTGATTGGCTGTGATTTCAGGAGGCTCTGCATAGTCCTACCACTAAGAACTCTCCTGTCTGAATGACTGAAACTGCTCAGAAACCAGGAGCCCAGATAAACCTTCCCTCCTATAAACTGTTTCTGCAAGGGACTGTGGTCACATGAGCACAAAAGCAACAAACACAACACAGGGCCTATTCACCTCACTGAAGCCTAGGAAACAAAGAAAGTCAGGAAGAAGGTAGGATCCCAGTATCCCCTAAAGGACATGACCTCAGTCACCTAACTTCTCCCCTCTTCCTGATGGTGCTGGGGGCTGGTGACCAAGTCTTCAATCTATAGCTTTTGAGAGAATGTGTCATATCTAAACTACAGCAGCCTTAGCAAACTAATAATGCAGTATTTCAAGAATGTTCTGGATGGCCTTTTATGGTGATACTTAAAAGTGGCTGTCTGTGTCCCATGAGGTCACGAGGATTTTCAAATAAGCAAGGCAATAATCCCTGCTCTACTTCGAAAGGCATCTAGCCAGGACTGGGTGTTATCTCCAAGAAACCAGCCACAACTATCCCACAGAAGCAAGGGATGATGGCAAGCATCACACAGAAGACTGTCACATGGGACACTGGTTGCAAGAATCAACTCAATGCAGCCAGCCTTTGACAACAGTGAGCCAGGAGCAAACCTCCAATATGACTGCTGCTCAGGTCACGTGTCAGAGAAGCACATTGGGCCACCTCAGACTGTGAACTTGTAATGAAAAAACACAGACAAGACAACAGCACAAGGGTACAGTGAGATGTCATCTGTGGCCTCCAGCCAGGTTCATAGCAAATCAATATGAGGACCTTCCTCCCACCAGGCCTCCATCTTCAACAGTTCAGCTCAGGGATGCTAATTTGACTTTAATCGTATCCTATTACGTTTTATCGTTCCATTTGGTTCTAGTGTTCCATTCATTTATTCACTAGTTCAAATATTCACACAACTGATATTCACAATGAGCCATCCAGGTCCTAAAAATAATCAGAAATGCTCTTCAGTTAAATAAAACTCAATAAAAATCTTAAAAGGAGATTCTGAGCAACCTACTGGATATAGCCTAACTCTTTTTCTGGTCTATATGAACAGGAACATTTTGTGGATATTAAGCTGGCTTCCCGGCTCCATACACTGATCACAGGGGTAAGGTTCAAAGGGGAATCTTCTGTCTCGGGCAAAACTTTGTCTTTGATCTGTTCCATTTAAAGCAGTTGTTCTCCACCTTCCTAATGCTGAAACCATTCAGTACATGTTACGGTGGCCCACAACCATAAAATTATTACATTGCTACCTCATAACTGTAATTTTGTTGTTATGAATCATAATGAAAATATCTAATATGAAGGGTATCTGCTAGGAGACACCTGTGAAAGGGTCATTTACTCCAAAAGGGGGTTGCAACCCACACGTTGGGAACCACTGATATAAACTGACACATCAAAGGCCAAGCTGTATAGATGGCTTCTTATTAAGCATGGAATAGGGGCTGGAGAGATGGCTCAGTGGTTAAGAGCACTTGTTACTCCTGCAGAGGATCTGGGTCCAGTTCTCAGCACCCACATGGCAGCTCAAAAATATCTGTAACTCTAGTTCTGAGGGATTTGACCCCTCTTCTGGCCTCTGTAGGTACTAAACACACATGGCACACAGACATACATGCAGGCAACACACTCATACACATAAAATAAAAAAATCTTAAAATGCTAAAAAAAAGGAATGAAATAAATAAGCTTAGGGGATATGCTTTCAAATCTTACCTAAACTGAAGATGTGTTTTTCTTAGTGACCCAGAATCACACCCTTTTAGTCATCCTTAAGAAACAATGTAGAAAAAAAATGGACACAATCTGACTGACTACCCACCAGCAATATACATAAATCTGAATAAGATACAGCAATAAAAATTGATTACCATGAAATAATTAACTACTACTAATTAATTAAAACAGTAACTAAAACAACATGTATAGATCCAGACACTCGAGGTAAATCTCATAGGTAGAAAGCTGTAATACTGTCAAAAAAAAAGGGGTGGGGGGTAAATCTGTATAAATCAGTAATGTACAAAATGTAAGCAGAAATATACATCAATTGTATGATACTGTTCTAATTTACTCTGTTGCAGTGATAAATACCATGACTAAAAACAACTTGTGGAGGAAAGGGTTAATTTGGCTTACAGGTTACAGTCCATCATCCAGGGAAACCAAGGCAGGAACTCTAGGCAGTAACCTGGAGGCAGGAACCAATGAAGAAACTATGGAGGGATGCTACTTAGTGGCTTGCTCTCCCTGGCTTGTTCAGGCTGGTTTCTTATACAGCCCAGGTCCTCCCTAGGCATGGTACCACCCACAGTAGGCAAGACTCTCCTCCATCAGTTAAGAGTCAAGAAAACGCCCCACAGACATGCCCGTGAGTCATGTGATGAAGACAATTCTTCAACTGATGTTTCCTCTCTGGGTATCTCTAGTTTGTGTAAAAATTACAATAAAAACTATCCAGTATACACACTATGTATATGTCACTTAAAAGTGTCCAAGGTTCCATGAGTGACAAGCATAACTGGGGACAAGGACTAAAAGCTTTCAGTTCTCATTAATGTTTTACTTCTTAACCTGGGTGGTGGATACACAGGCATTCTTTGCATTAATCCTCATAGTAGCTCATAAGTCCAGATTATTTCCTAATAAATTCTGTACTACAGCACTCTACCTGTCAAAAGGCTAATCCTATACTCATTGCAGTAAACAAGACCTACTGCCTCTGCCAGTACAGCAAAGCTCCCACTTTTCTTCTCACTAAGACAACAGATCCTCCATGCTGAAAAAGACTATCGAAGGAAAACAAAAGCAAATTATTCCCCTTCCAGGCATCTTCTTCATTCCAGTCCTTTGCATTTTCACGTAGCTGAGATCACACTGGACCTTCCTTTTCTGTGGATTACAATCACGCACACTACACACTCAGTCTGCAAGCATCGCCAGTAGCCCTGCTCAGAGTCAGAAGCACAGGGCAGTGCGGACGCATCAGAGGAGCCAGGGGCTGGGAACACTGAACTGGGTGGAGAGCCGGAATCAATCATGGGGTGTTGCGGGAGCAGGGCAGGTGGTGGAGCCTGTCACAGAGGGTCTGATGAATTTCTTTGGAAGGGCTGCAGCTTTCTGCACGCTTGTACATGAAGGACAGTACCAGAGGAAGAAGTGGGGTTACCATAGAGCCCACAGCCGGCCCTATCTCTGCAGCCTCCCCATGCTCACAGGAGTCTGGAAGCATTTGTAAAAAGATTTATGTCACCCAGGTGATGAAGCTAGAGGGTAGGTGGCCTCAGCCAAGCCAGATCACAAGGGATTTATACACAGGCTAAGATACTTGGACTATAGACTGACTGCCTTCAACTGGAAATGGTACCAGGAGCCAAGTAAAACCTGAGGCATCAAGGCCTTTTCAAAAAGAGAACTATAGACACTGTCCTGGGGACAGGATCCATTTGGTAGCGTTACCTGGGACTGGGTGATGGGGCTGAAGAGAAAAAGGGTGTTGGATAATGAATGACATTCTTCTCCTGGGGCCCCACTCACCCCAGATTAATCTAGCTGTCTGCAGGAGAGAGCTCTCATGCTTACATTCCTGCTGTTCTTTACATCTGAAATAAGAAATGTTTTCTACATATGACCTGAGTGTTCCCTCAGGTGAGTCACAGTCCAGCTAGGCCAGAACTGATCCCCATAGCCGTCTGTGTCATGTCACCCAGCCACCCGACTCTGCTGCCCAGGGATGAGCCCCGGAGCTGTGAGGGGTGAGTCCCCTCTTTCCTGGGCACTGTGGCTGCTATTTTCTAAGCTCACTAGTTCGCCTTCAGCAAACATGGCCACAGCTCACAATGCTCGACAGGGTTTCTCCTCCAGGAATGAGCAATAAATGGATTGCACAGAAGTACTCCACACATGTCAGAAGCCATACGCTGCTCTGAAAAGTGTCCTCCCGAGGTCTTCATGGTAACAAGCTTTAGGCTCGCCACAAACAACAAAATATATCTCGTAAGTATCATCAAAAAGGAAAATTCATTTTGCTAGACTATAAGTACAGGTTTTAAACATTCCTTGCTGGGGATGGGTGTGGTGGTGCACACTTTTAATCTGAAACAGCTGGGTCTTTGTGAGTTCAAGGCCAGCCAGAACTATGTAGTGAGCCCATATCTTTAAAAGAGAAAAAAAAATCCTTTTTTTCAGTCGTGCTTGCTGGCAGACTCCACCTCCATGGGTCATCACTGCCTTAGGCCATGTGATCCGACCCAAGGACAGAGGAAAAAGACGCCAGTTCTGTGTTCCCTATGCACGAGAAACACCATAAGGGCATTGTGCACCTGCGTACTGTTGACTTCGCTGACTACATTAAGGGCATTGTAAAGGATATCATTCATGACCCTGGTTGTCGCAGTGTTCCCCTCGTGAAAGTGGTCTTTTGTGATTCCCTACCGATTTGAGAAGTGGATGGGGCTGTTCACTGTTGCAGAGGGAATCTGCATTGGACAGGTTGTGTTCTGCTGCAAGAAGGCCCAGCTGAATATCAGCAACATTTTGCCCACAGGCACCATGCCTAAGGGTACCTACTATCTGGAGGACAAACCTGCGGACAGGAGCAAACTGGCATCAGCCTCTGGAAACTGTGCCAGTCATCTCCCACAGCCCAGAGACCAACAAGACCCAAGTGAAGCTGCCTTCAGGTCCAAGGTCATTTTTTTCAGCCAACAGAGCTGTTGTTGGTGTGGTGGAGTGGGGGCACAAATGACAAACCTATCTTACATACTGCCTTACATACTTGTGCATGCCAGAAGTACAAGGCAAAAGGAACTGCTGGCCATGTGTATGGGGTATGGCCATGAGACCTGGGAAGGTGGGAACCACCAGCACACTGGCAAACCCTCCACTATCCAAAGAGATGCCCCTTCTGCATGCAAAGTGGGTCTCACTGCTGCCCACCAAACTGGATGACTCCATGGAACCAAATCTGTACAGGAGACGGAGAACTGGAACTTGGGAGCTAATAAAGTATGTCTTTTGGCTAATAAAAAGAAAAAAAAAACTTTCTTGGAGATGATGCAGGGCATTTAAGGGCTGACCACACAAGCACAGGAACTTGAGTTTAGCTCCTCAAAACCTACATAAAGACCAGACTCATTAGGCAGAGACAGAAAAGCCTGGGCAAAATAGCCAACTAGGCTTACCAAATTGGTGAGCTAGCAGTTCAGGGAGAGACCCTGCTTCAGTGCATAAAATGGAGAGCAAATGAGAAAGACATGAGATGGCCACCATCACACACACACACACACACACACACACACACACACACACACCTGCACACACGTGCACCCATACACATGCAAATACTCATATGCACACACACACACACACATGTGCATACACACAGGCCAACACATGCACCCATACACACGCAAATATAAATATGCACACTCACCACACCACACATACGTAAAAATAATAAAAGTGCATTACTTACCTATGTCGTGTTTCCTTGATTGACTACTCTGATCCAAATCCTGCATTTAAAATGAAAGAGACAAAGACGGATCCCATCATTTAACTGAACTAGCAACACAGTGAATAATAATGATGAATAACCTGGATAACACGTGATGACAGGACTTGAAGATGGAGCTAAAATGCTTCCCTAAACTAAGGAGGCTACAACAGAAAAGGGCAAAGCAGGAACCATGAGCATCTTCCTTCTTCAGAAGTTCTGCAATAAGGTTGTGTCTTTAAAATCTCTTTATTTTTATTTTATGTGTGGGAGTATTTGCTTGCATGTATGTATGTGCACCATGTATGTGGAGTACTCACTGGGACCAGAAGAGGGCATGAGATTCCCTAGAACTGGAGTTACAGATGGATGTGAGCTACCATGTAGGTTCAGGGAATCAAACCCAGGTCCTCTGCAAGAGCAGACAGTGCTCTTAATCCCTGAGCCATCTCTCCAGCTTGGGCTATGTCCTCTGTATGTGATCTTAGGCAAATGTATGTGATCATTTATTTGGGTTAAAAGCTTATTTCCTCCTGCATAAAATCACATTTTGGGTAAAGTTAATTCTAAAGACCTTGTGAACTCTAAAACACTGTAAGAAAGCCAGACATAGTCCGATTGATGACAGGACCCACCTCATGATGAAACGGTCTCCCTGCTAGTGTCTTTATCTATTGAGCTCAGACATTATGTGTGGTGTTGAATGAGAATGGTCCCCATAGACTCTTATATTGGAAAGCTGGGTTACCAGTTGGTGGAACTGCTAGGAAGGATCATGAGATGTGGCCTTGTTGGAAGAGGTGTGTCACTGTGGATGGGCTTTGAGGTTTCAAAACTCCTACCTAGAATCTCTCTGACTCATGCTTGTGGATCAAATGTAAGCTCTCAGCGGCTGCCATGCTCCCCACCATGATGGTCATAGACTCTGGAACCATGAGCCCCAAATTAAATACTTTCCTTGGCAAGTTGCCTTAATCACAATGTTTTGTCTTCACAATATAAAAGTAACCAAGACAAAATGTCATAAAGAATGTTAACACATGGGGCTGGAGGGATGGCTTACCAGTTAAGAGCACTGCTCTTCCAGAGGACCCAGGTTCAATTCCCAGCACCCACATGGCAGCTCACAACTGTCTGTAACTCCAGCTCCAGTGGATTTGACACCCTCACACAGACATACATCCAGGCAAAATACCAATGCACATAAAATAAAAATAAATAAATCATTTTTAAACAAGAATGTTAACACGGTCTTTCTTGCCTAAGGTCCCACAAAGAGTCTTGGAGGAGGACAGATGATGACAACTGTAATGGCTTAAATGTGTGTCTCAAAACATGTGTTGAAAATGCCATCCCAAGCTAGGAGTTGTGGCCACACGAACTTTAGTCCCAGCACTAGAGAGGCAGAGGCAAACAGATCTCTGGTCTACAGAGTGAGTTCCAGGACAGCCAGGGTTTGTCTTGGTGGGGGCGGGTGTTGCAACCTTCAAGAGGTAATGGATTCACAATGCTATTGTGGGAGTGAGTTCACTATCAAGTGTGGATCTGATATAAATTCAAGTCCAGCCCTCTCTTTCTCTCTGGCACATACTCCTTGCCCTTCTCTGCTTTCTGCTATGGAATGAATGACTCAAGCACAAAAGGCCTGCACTCCTATACCTTAGACTTTCCAGCCTCTAGAAGGATAAGAAATAAATGGCAGTTCTTTATAAATCTCCCAGTCTCTTTCATTTTGTTATATTAACACACATAGCCACTAGAACTCTTGGGCACGGAAGGGTGCCTCAGGGCTGGGGAGCCTGGTCATCTAGACACAGCCACAGAGGTAACTTGATTCTAACCCTGAGTGGGTCACTGGAGACTCACAACTGCTTTGACAAAGCACAGTGTCGACAGCTAAAACTGCCATTTCCAATAACTTCTCTTCAGACTAGGACAAAGTTTCCTTCCTAATTGCTCGGGTTTTTTTTTTCATTTTTGGTATAATTTGTCCATAATTATGACAATTAGACATTACCAACATCCTTCGATTTTCTTACAGGCTGAAATAAGAAACATGGTTGTGAGCCTTTACCAACAAAATCTGGAGCCACTTCAAAGCTAAGGCAAATCCACAAAGAGGAATGTCCTCGAAGACTGCCAAAGGGACCATGAGACGAGGCAGAGGTTGCATTTTATGAAACTGTCCTTGCCTCAAGAGTAGAAAGGCCACTGGGTAGAGAAGATGGCCCTGCTGGTGCTGCTCTGTCAGATCCCAGGATAAACAATCATTAAATACTGATGAAACAGTTAACTTTGGAAGAATCTACTGAGACTGGGAAGCCAAACCCCTTATCTGGAGGTGTTGTTCCAAGCCAGGTTAGTATCCCAAGCTGGTGTGAGAAGACATCAAGAGGCCACACCTGATCAGGAGACCTTCCTACTCTCAGTGCAGCCATGCTGCACACAAGGACACCACTGGCTCCCACCATGACTGCTCCCTGTCCCCTACCTAGGTGTCTGCTTCTTCTTATTAAGCCACAGAACCAGTGCTGTATGGTTGGTGGGAAAACAGAATGTTTAGATGAAGAAACAGCACCAGAAATGATTACAGCTAATGATCCCTTTTCCAAACAAGACAATCATTTATCTCAAAAAAAAAAAAACACAAATGAATTTCTCAGGCCTCAACAGTCATTGGCCATGAACCCAGGATTAAAGCCTTCCTAGTCTCTTCCTGACCATAGCACCAGCCTGGAGGTCTTTAGAAAAACAATCAATACAACCCACATTTGTGTGCAACCAGAGTCACCTCCAACAAAGTGGAAGATGAAAACCATCCAGGCCCAGGGGTTCCAGACGGTGACATTTGGACAGCCCTGGACACCTGCTGGACTTGCCACCACACAGCTTTGCGACATCAGAGAAGACCAACCCGAATCACATATCTTCTTAGTTGGCATTAAATCTGTAGCTCAGACTGGCTGACACAATAGCTAGGGAAATGATTATCTTTTTCAAACAACTCAATCTGTAAACTGTAAAACTAAAATACCCAAAGAACGGTTGAGTTGGGTAGATTGAAACAGAACCAAAATAGTCTTGAGTAATTTCCCCTTTGAGAAAGAAAATTGGGCTAAATGAACAAATTGACAGAACATTTAAAATCCTGTCTTCCGTTTCCCTCATGAAAAGGCTTTTCCAACGAGGAAAGTGCAAGCCTTGTTTTATGATCTCCAATGCCACAAGTTTCTTCCACTGACTATCAATATTAATCAAAAAATGTGCTAGCTGTGAAGGCTGCACATCAACCACTAGACAGACAAGAAAGAGATCTGTTATGAGTGCATCTGTCCCACACAGCTCCCAGATGAGACATGACAACATGACCAAGTCAACCTTTCTACCTGGGTTTCATTTTCTTAAGCCACGGAGCTTTGAACAGTGACAATTCAAAATGTAAGGCTTAGTTGGCAAGTTCTTCTCATAAAAATGATAGGAGAGGCTCAATGGGTAAGAGCACCAGCTGCTCTTGCAGAGGATCAGGCTTCAGTTCCCAGCTCCCACATGACAGCTCCCAATCATCTGTAACTCCAGTTCCAGGGTATCTGCCGCCCGCTTCTGCTTCTATGGGCACTGCACCCGTGTGGTGAAAACGCATGCATACATACAGGCAATACACTCACACTCATAAAAATAAAATTTAAAGATTATTTTAATGTGTAGGTTCTAAATTCATTAAATAAAATTTTAATCCTCCGCTAATAACCCTTGCATAGCACATTATACTCTTTATGAGCAAGCCTCAATCCTATCAAACACACACATTATAATTACAATGGAGTACAGGCTGAGAATATAGGATTCAGAACATTTGAACTTGAACTTCTAATAATCCTGTGTCCTTGGTAAAAAAAAATCGCATAATTGCCTTCAGGCTAAATTTCCTGTTTAACTGGGAATATCTATTTTGTGCTTAGCAATACCAGCATCATTGAGAAGATCAAATTAAATAAAATGTGTTCAAATGCTTTTACTAGCCCTAAAGAGTCCTAACACAGTCAGAAATGCTTAGCATCACTTCCCCTTTGGAGGATCCCATAGCACAGTTAGATACTGCTCCGTTGATCAAAGAAACATTCTCTTCAAAAGACCTTACACCAATTGTGGAGTAAAGTATCGACTCAGTGGAGCCTTAATTAACAGAACAAAACCGAGTCGTGGTTTTTAAATATTGTTTCTTGTTCACCTGTTAAACTGAGCCCATGCAAAGCTCAAGTGATAACGTGTGTGTGTGTGTGTGTGTGTGTGTGTGTGTGTGTGTGGGGGAGAGAGGGAGGGAGGGGGGGGCACACACACACTTGAAATTCTCCAACATCATCAGTGATCAAAACTGAAGGCTCAGAGAATTTGAAAAAGTGTGACCCACTCAACTCAGCCCCTGAGCCTGGCTTTGCATTCTGAGTGTCTGAGGAATCCGCCAGCTTGGCCACCTGTGGAGTCCTTCATCTGCTCCTCAGGATGTTTTTCCCCACAGCTCCATCTTCAAGGCAACAGTAACCAGGTTTTGGACTCTCCTCACCATGAGAATGCTCTCACAGACTGGAAGATGGAGTCAAGGGTAGGACACCCTGAGACTTGACAAAACAAAGCTACCCAAGTAGGGCTTCTCAGAGATCTATCTCTATATCAAAACACTTGTTCCTAAAATGACTGAAACTAGGCTGTCTGTCTGAACTATTATGTCATAGTTTCCAATATAAGTCTGGGGCCGAGAACATGGCTCATTGGATAAAGTACAGCATGGAGCTTATAGAGCACAGATCCCCAGACGCCATAAAAGCTGGGAGGTACAACGTGGGGAGGAGGATAAAACTTCCCCAGAGTAAGCTCACTAGCCAGACTAGCTGAAAAGGTGAGCTCCGGATCCAGTAAGAGACCCTGCCTCAATATACATGTGGAGAGTGATGGAGGAACACACATACCTGTGAGCATGCATACAATACACATGTGCCCACCCATAACAAAAACAATCAAATTTATTCACAGGTTGCTCTTAAGGCTTCAAAGTCTATATTGATAGCCAGAGCAATAGTTAATTGGTAAAGCACTTGTCACACAAGCATGGGAACCTGAATTCAGTCTTCAGCACCCACATAAAAAAAGCCAGGTCTGGTGGCATGTGATGTAATCCCAGAACTGGGGAGGCAGAGACAGACAGATCCCTGGGGTTTGCTGGCCAGCCAACCTACCCCAAACAGCAAAACCCAGGCCAATGAAGGAGCCTCTGTGAAATGCTGGGTAGGGCTGAAGGAGATGTCTCAGTGAGTAAGAGTGCTTGCTGCACAAACATGAAGACCTGAGTTCAAATCCCCAGAGCCTATATACAAATCCAGGTGTGGGTATGTGCACCTTTAACCTTAGACTATCAAGGGGTAGAGATAGAAGGATTGCTGGAATTTGCTGGTTGCCAGCCTAGCCCCGGGATCAGGGAGAGAGAGACCCTGTCTCAAAGGAATAAAGTAGAGAGGGACAGAGCTGGACACCTGACTTTCTCCACGTGTACATATGTGGGGCATACACCCTAACACACACATCTGTACATGCCCCCATACATACACCACAGAGATACACCACACCACACACACACACACAGAAAGAGAGAGGGGGACTGAACAAGAAACAACACACAAAGCTGACCTCTGGCTCCAAACTTATACAATTATACACTTATACACACACACACAAACACACACACACACACACACACACACACACACACACGTACACACACACACATACACACGCACACATACACACATGTGCATACAGAAACAGATACTGAACACACACATATACAAACAGAAACAGATATTGAAGAATATCTCAATTCATACAACAGCAAAAAAAAAATGTTAACTGTTAAGGATAAAAATCGTTACATTTCTCATTAAATCTAAAAGAATGCTGCAGGAGTGGTTAGATTAGATCACTACAATTAGTACCTGGGAATGCTTGACCTTTTCTTTTATCTCTTCAGACACCAAAGCAAAAGCTAGGAGGAAAAAGAGAAACATGTTTACATTAAAATTAGCAGTCTGGGTTCATTCTCACATTCAACAATTCGGCTTATAATAAGGGGGGAATATTTTTAACAAGATACATTTTGCTCATTTTTTTTAAAAAAACAGCCACATTGCCACAAACAAGTACTATCGGTTCTCTTAATCTTATACGTAAAGCACTGATCACTGTAATGTCAATGAGCTCAGGCTACCAAGCAGCAAAAACAAAAACAAAACAAAACAAAAAAAAGGGCAGAGCAATTAAAATCTTTACAAACAACCAAAAAAAAAATTTTTGATTTAGATACCTTCTTAGCATAGGAAAATCCCTGAGAATGCAGGGGCTGGTAGTACAAATTGCTATCTCCATCTTCCCTGTCAAAGCAACACAACTATCTTTGGGGTGCACTTGTTGTTTGGAACTGCAGGGCTAGAATTGCAGATGCTGCTGTTCACAAGCCATTGGGAGAATATGCAGCATCGTACTGACATTCCAGGGCAGGAGACTAAAGGCATTGAAATCATCCTCCATTCAGGATGATGGAACATTTTCAGTTCGAGTCATAAATAGGCAAAGATCTCCTTAGAGGCACACTTAGGCTGAGCATTAAAAATAATAACAGCAACAATACAACACAGCACTGGAAATATGAAGCAAAATGCTAAGCCAAAAGGTCAGGAAGGGTGGGAACGAAACAACCATGAGCCCTATAGTGAGCTTCTCCTAAAGAGTTAAAGGAGAGCATTGCAGGGAGGTGGTTCAGGTCCTCCAGGCAGCATTCCCAGAGGAGGTGGGCACTGTGCCAGGGCAGGCACATGGCACAGAGTGTTCTAGGACTCCAAGACAATAATGTAGTTTAAGAAGCATCATGGGAGGGTCCTTGGGGAATGCCACTGTACAAGCAGGAGACAACACAACCACTCAGGTCCCTCTGTCTAGCCCCTCCCCTCCCCACTATATCCCCAGACATCCGCTGGCTCACATTACCCATTAACATTTGTTCACAGGAAATCATCTAAGACATGGTCACGCTAAAAAAGTAAATGACTAACACAGTTTAATCGTCTCCATTTCCAGAATGGCATTTCAAAAGGCAGGGTTGAAACGGAAGCACGAGCCAAAGGGACCTTGGTGTGTGGAATTCAGATAAGCTTAGACGGCTTACAAGGTCCTGTGACTGCCTAAATGGTACAGCCGCCTCAACCCTCCCCTACTCAGCCCCACTGTTCATTAGAGAACTCAGCACCAATTGGAAATGCATATTTGGGAACCATTACTAATAGACTCAAGCTCCACACAGACAGCAATGTAATTTTATTGACTAAGATAGAAATAGTACACTAAAGTAGCTCTGAATGAGTGAATGTCTTCATTGTTGGCTGTGAGGTCTCCTCGCTGTAAGGCTAACTCACCAGGCAGCACCTATCTGATCCAGTAGAAGAGAGTTCATTGCCCACCCCCAAATTATTTTCACCATGATATGATCTATGTTTTCACGCTTCACACACATACATGCACCTGTACACACACACACACACACATATCTCCACACAGTGTTAGTCACTCTCCTATTGCTCTGATAAAACACCATGACCACTGCAACTTATAGATGGGTATGTTTGGGGCTTATGGTTGCAGGGGGGAAGAATCATGGAGAATCAGCACGTGTGGTGGCTGAAACAGGATGCTGAAGACTCATGTCATGAACCACAAGCACAAGCAGACAGTGAGTGCAAAGGGTGAGAGATTTCTCTCAAAGCTCACCTCGAGTAACACACCTCCCCAACAAGGCCACACCTCATAGCCTCTCAAACATTGATACCTACAGGCTGAGACTATAGGAGGCATTTCATTCAAGCCACAGACAGGCACGCACGCACGCACGCACGCACGCACGCACGCACGCACGCACCACACACACACACACACACACACACACACACACACACACACACACACCAAGGCCCACATCATTAGTAAAGCAGATTTAACACAAATACCATTTAGGAACTGTTTCTGGGTACTTAATATTTTGGGTTTATCTTATTTCTTTGCTCCCAAGAAATTTTCACATTAAAAAACACTCAAGGAGGGGACTGGAGAGATGGCTCACCAGGTAAGAGCATTTAGAGTTCTTAAAGAGGACATGATTCCCAGCACCCACGTCAGGTGGCTCAAAACCACTGGTTCCTCCAGCTTCAAGGAATCTGGCACCCTCTTTATCCCCACTGGCACCTGAACACACACCTGCACAAACCCACACACAGACACAAACATATACACATAGTTAAAAGAAAATTAAATGTTTTAATTAATTAGTTAATTAAACCCTCAAGGAGATACCAAAACCAGAATTATTTAGCAATTAGATGCTGGGAGACCAGCACAGTGGGACCTTGGCATGTACAAGGTTATGGGTTTAACCTCTAATGCCAGTGAAGAAACAAACAAACGTCATGCATGGTCACATGTTAACATCAGTTGGCACCACAGGATTCTGGAAAATAAATGCTGAGAACTAACAGACTAGAGAAACTGTGGTCAGGCTACAGCAGTTTATTTTAAATTGTCCTTTGCCAGGGATGTGATGGCATACACCTTTAATCTCAGCATTCAAGAGGAAGAGTACAGTGGCTATCTGCAAGATCAAGGTCAGTGTGATCTATATAGTGAGTTGTAGGTCAGCCAGGTCTACATAGGGAGAGCCTGGATGGATGGATGGATGGATAGATAGATAGATAGATAGATAGATAGATAGATAGATAATAGGTGGATGGAGAGAGAGGATAATGCAGGAGAGGTAGAGAGATGGCTTAGCAGTTAAGAACACTAGCTGCTCTTGCAGAGAACCCAGGTTGAATTCCCAGCATCCACTTGGCAGCTCACAATCATGTGAACTACAGTTCCAGGGTGATTCAATGCCCTCTTCTGGCCTGTGCAGACACTACACACACAACTAAGCCCAATCCCCAGCACTGGGGGAAAAAAAAAAAAAAAACTCCCCTCTACCCCTATCAGTTCTTATTCCAAACCTAGATAGTCTTGGTTATCATAGAGGCACCATCTAATACCTGGAAGTTTCTTTAATTTGACATGCCTGCAAAGCCGGTGGGCTATGACTTGCGGGGTTGTGTCCGAGGCTTGAGAAGGGAGAGCAGACTGAGGGAGGGCCTCTTTTCTGCACTGGTTCTAGGAGGCACCAGTGCGGAGCCTCTCCTTTAACAGCAACTAATATTTGCCAGTGTCACTGTTTAAAGGAGACCCACACATCAAGGGATACACCGCCAATAAACCAAGCAAGCCCCACAGATCCCGCCTGCAGGAATGGAGACGCCTGGCCTTCCTGCAGAGAAGGCTTAATGTTCACTTCTATCTCCATCCCAAAATACACAGATCTAGAGTTTTTTAAATCCTTTAAAAATAAAAAGCCTGTCATCGTCTCCATCACTCTACTGTGAAATTAAAATCTCTTTTTTCTACAGCAGAGATGACACAATACTTAAACCAACACCGTGAGTATGTTCATCGCTTTCCACTCCTCCCTTATCCTGACATTTTTCTATAAATTTTCTAAACATTTTCTAAACCGAACAAACAAAATTGTGAAGGCACATATAAATGCATTTCATAGGCACATAATAAATCAAAGCATAAAATGATGAGTCATTTGCAGAATTCCTCCCAACAAAATCCAGGTTTCTTGGGAAAAGATGACGAAAGAGAGGTGTAAATGAGTTAAAAGGGTGAAAAAATAAAGGAGTAAATAAGGTTTTTTAAAAAAATGTCCATTTATTTCAGCAACCCTAACAAATATTAACTTTGTATTACCAAAGCAAATACAATTTCTTAATAGCTAAAGTGTAAAAGTCTTAAACTCATTTTTTTGTCTTAATTAGGTCTCCATATTAATAGAACCAAGGCTTTCATTTTCACAAAGTGGGAGAAGATAGGTCACTGCTTTTGGTTTTCTTTTTTTTATTATTTTAATTTCAGCATCTTGAAGCACTGCAGATTTGGGGTATGCTAATCAGAGGAGCAAGCAGAATATATGAAATATAAATAAAAACAGAGGCTGAATAATTCGAAGTGTAAAATGACGGAGTCTGAGCCCTGAAAGTAGAATGTGCCACATTTCAGCAGAGTTCCTGAAGTTGCCGCTCAGGCTTCGTGTCTACATGAGAGGTCCTGTATTTTTAATGTCCATGGTTGACTTCATTCTGATTTTAATATTAAGTCTGGCAACTTCAGAGGGGGGAGGGGGATGTGAGGGGGAGAAGGAGGTAGAGTGAAAGAGAGAAGAGGGTCCTCTCTCCAGCTCACACCCTCCCAGCCAAAGGGGCACCCAGGAATGACCACTGGGACCTCAATGTTCACTGTCTCCTTTCACGACGATTTCTAGGTTTGGCAAGGGAAAGCATTTCCGAAGATTTGGCTTTAATACCTTAATGTGGAGTCGGAGAAATATTCCAAGGTAAACCATGCTTTTACATGCCAAACTGCTGTTTAAGAGTCACTTTCTCTTTTCTCTTTTCAACATGAATTCTGGTGAACTGAGACAGGGAACTATATTTAAAGTGCAAATCCGGGCAGGCAATAGAAATTAGGTCTTTTTCACGATAACTTTAAATAATTCAAGCCAACAAATGTGTGAGCACACCTATAACAGAAAGATAAATCGGGATTTTATAAGTAGCCTGGGATGCAGTTTTATGGACCTTGAAGGAGTTAACCTAAGTGTGTACAGTACACATCTCCTGGCTTGCCTGTTCCAGAAGACGATGAAGCCTCCATGCAGGGAACTCATTTGAGCTTCCTAGTTCCCAAAGTCTTCCAGAAACATCCATCAGACAAACCAAACAAAACTGAAAACCACAGAAAACACTGACATGCTCTGCCCCTTAGGGCCTAGCTTGGCACAGAGAGAAGCTTGGGTAAGCTAAACATGGTGATAAACACCTGTAATCCCAGCCCTCAGGAGACAGAGGCAGG